CCCCAAAACCCCAAAACCCCAAAACCCCAAAACCCCTTCTAATTTTTATAAAATTGAAATAAAAATGAATATCAAAGGCTCTTCCGCTGGTGACCCAGCTTCGCTCGAAACATTCATGTCTGAAATTACCACAAAGCAACAGAAAAGGGAATCTTTAGCTATAAACATCCATAAACTGAAGAAAATAGAGAGATCAATGATCCTCACTCAGAAAAACTCTGCTAAACTAGAAGAGCAAGGTGAGATTTTACTTAAGCATGAACTGATCGTTAAAGACGCTGTTGTAAACAAAGCTCTGGATGTAAGACTACAAATATTTCAAGCGGATCTTCAAAGAACGATTGAAAACAGACTTGACGAGTTCTCCTGAAAGTTCTCAGATCTCATCTCTAAAAAGGTAGATGCTTCCTTTTACAAGGAAACCCTTGATTCAAAAGCAGCTAAGACTGAGTTGAACAAGACCAATGAGCAGGTTATGGAATTCAATGAGAAAATGGAGCTTTTGAATCAGTATCTAGAAAAGCTTAGACGAGACGAAGAGGAAAAACGTAACCCAGTCCAAAATGAAATCGACCGGCTGGATAACGATAAAGCAGACCAGCTCGAATTCATGGAATTGCAACAGAAAGTTATCGATCTTAAAGAGATAGTCGACTCTTTTGATGAAGATGATGAGGATGAGTTCGATGATGAGGATAGTGTAGAAGAAGATGTGCTATCACTCAATCAATCTGGCAATAATCTTAATGCTAATTCAAATTCTGCTAGTGATAAAGACGAACAAAAGGTTGAAGAAAATGCTGAAGAGCAACAACCTGAGGAGGAAAATAAGGATCAAACCATCAATGAGGTTGCCTCAGTTGAGAAAAGAAAAGAGGTCCTTCATGATATGCCAGATATGTCCCAAATAAAGTCTATAATTGAGGAAAATCCTTTAACAATGCCTTTAAAGACTGTTGTTAAAACAAACTCTGTATCACCTGCTGACTCTCCTCAATACTTACAAAAGATAAATTTATCGAATATAGATACTCAGAAGGAGGTTCATCTCCAAGATGATGACTTCAAATCCCCAATAATAAAGCCTGTAAAGATAGACATGACCCAGAAATCGAAGAGGGATACAACTCCTGACCCTGCTACACCTGCTGTGCATTTAAAGAGTACTGAGAAGGAAGAGTCTGTGTCTAAAGAAACTCCTCGTATTGAGTAAGTCTTGCATCAATATCTTTAGAGCTGCTCCATCAGTGATGAACTCAACTGCTGCTGCTAAAAATGAATCAGGGTTTAACTTTAACAATACAAAGGAAAGCTTTAATAAGAGTAGTTTTACTAAAACATCCAAAGTCCAGAGGAAGGAGACAGAGTCTACTGTAAAGTCCAGAAGTAAACTCTCTCGCATGAACTCTAAGATGTCCATGGTAAGCAGTCGCAGGAAAGGCCCAGGAGCTGGTCTAAAGACTAAGATAGATGAGCTCAACAAGAAGGTAACCACAATGGATATAATCTTTATAGGTGCAAATTTCAAATCTTAATATGGAAAAAGCACTCGAAGATTTTAAAACTATGAAGAACCAGGAAGCTCAGAGACATGAAAGATTTCAAGAGATGGATGATCTTGTCACATATCTTCAGAAAAATTATGATCAATGGCTCGATGAACACCAAGGTAGGCTCAGTGATTATGACAATTGTAGAAATTATAATAAGGCATCAAGAGCTAGATGAGCAGTATAATAAAGGATTAGTGGATATCTCTGATAAATACTCAAAAATCTCAAAAATTTATAAAGAAACAAAGCAAATGGTCGAAGCCAACCGCAAAGCATTCAAGGATGGATTTGAGAGGATAATTAGGTGAGAAGTCAACCAGCAAGAGGTGAGTTTCTCAGTATAAATTTTAGGATCACAGGCGCATTCAAGTGTTGCAGAACAAAATTAAAGAAGACATGCTCAGTAAGGCACTTCCAAATGAGAGTTTGGAAAAATTGCAAGAGAACTATGCTGGCAATGTTGATGAGAAGTTTGAGGTCCTTTATGATAGAATACATCAAATGGCCACAGACCAAGCTGATTTCAATCTCAAAATGAAGAAATCTTTGGATAGACTTGGTGCACCAATTCAGAAACAAATGGAAACAATGATAAAAGAGAATGAGTTAATGCATATTGAGCTGGAGAGATCACAAAATCATAATCGGGAGTTATTGACTTCATGAGGATTCTTTAGAAACAATGACAATCTCAAAATAAGTAATGATTCTCAATTCAGCGATTTCAAAAGGAAAAAGAGTATGCTCAAAAGACAGGGCATGAACGCTCTTGGAAACACAACTTTGAACTTAACAAGTCTTTCATTTGGAAAATCAAAGCCTGATTATGATACTTCTGATCATAAGAACCAAGTGTCATTCCAGTTCGATAGCTACATTCCCATGGCTAAACGCTCTAAAAGAGCTAGTCCGATCACCTTCAGTGCAAATCGGTCAAAAATAAAACTATTCAAACCCTCAAAATCAACCGACAGAAAATCCTTCGACTCTAATGGATATTCTCACCCCTCCAAAATCAAGCTCTACACAGACTAATCCCAATTTTTCTTTAGCTAAATACACCTATTTGGCCCTCTATTTGCTCTCCCGCCTTTATTTCCACTTAATTCCTTCATCTAAACTCTGTTTTACCCTCCTCCAAATCCCTTTACTCTTCCTTCAAATCCTCATTTCCTAAATTTATAGTTCAATTAGGATATTTAGAACGGGGTTTTGGGGTTTTGGGGTTTTGGGGTTTTGGGG